CTAGGACTACCAAACAGAGACTACTAGTGACAGACGCAGGGATCAAGCCCCATAGGGCACAACACTCATAAACAAAACACACAGGTTACAGGTCACGGGATCAAATCCCGCAGGGTACAAAACACACAAACCACAAACAAACTGGCAATACAGCAAACAAAGGTTGCGGGATCAAATCCCGACAACTATGACAGGGACAAAATTAGTATACAGCCCGCTTGTAACACTGCAATTCATTGCATTCCTACCCTCCCGGGGAGCCAGGACCCCGAGCTAGGAGTGTCCACGAGGAGACCGCCTGAGTAATTTCCCACTTTGTTCAGCCTCGTAGAACCGCACAACTGAATTAGCAGACTTGAGAAGTTCCTTTCTTGTAAACCAACGGTCCTCAGTATGAGGTTGGAAGAGGAACTTGACAAGATATTCACAGTTGGGGCCAATGCCACATTGATCTTCAATGCTCTCAACTTCATATCCCTTTCCAGGGATAGGAGGTCCAAACTGCGGTGGCCGATCAGGAAACGCGTCAGCAGGAGTGAAAGGCAGCAGTTTTGAGGCATGGAAGACAGGGTAGGTCCTGATATTTGAGGGTACAACAAGTACATAAGAAGGCCCAAAAGGGTCTGCTCCCACAGTATCAAGTACCTGCCATGGGCCGTAGTACACAGGCAACAACTTCCGTGATATGTCCTGTTCATCAGTCAACTCCGACCTTTTCACCCAGACCCAGTGGCCAGGCCGAATAGGAGAGGGAGAGCGATGCTTGTTAGCCTGCTCTATCATTTTTTTCTGAGCCTTGAACATGTTTGTTCTGGCTTTCTCTAGGTCTTTCTCATAACTCTTGGTGAACTCTGCAGTCCCAGGAGTTAGTTTAGGCTTAGTTTTGTCAATGAGATCGTCAAGAGGTTGTCTTGGGTCCCTGGCAAAGTGAAGCCTATAGGGTGTAAAGCCTGTAGTGYTGTGAACGGAAGTATTAYACATAAGTTGAGCCCTTGASAGATGTTTGTCCYAGTCCTGTTGATCAGGTGTGATCACAGGACGCAGCAGCTGAAACAAGACTTGGTTCATTACTTCAGCCTGTCCATTGGCTTCAGGATGTCTGCCAGAAGTCATGTCTAGYCTGGAATGGAGRTAGTCTTTACAGAAAGACTGCCATTCATCGCTGCAAAACCTGGGGTCTCTGTCACTGACAATAGAGGTTGGGCACCCATGGACATTAACCCACCTCTCAACAAACAACTCTCTTACCAGAAGAACTTTGGCCTCAGCAGGTAAGGGAATAAACTTGGCAAACTTAGAGAAACGATCAATACATACCATTACCTGCCTCATGCCACGAGGGGTGGTCTTGCCCAAATCAGTAAAGTCAATAGACACTGACTCGCCTGGGCCATCTGGAATAGGCAATGGTTTGAGTAGCCCCATAGGAGGTCGTCTGTGGACCTTGTTCCTTTGGCATAACTCGCAAGTCTCTAAGTACTTGAGAATATCCTCCTTCATCCTTGACCAATAAAAGCGTTGGGTCAGGGCAGCATAAGTCTTTAGGAACCCAAAATGACCTCGAGCATCATGACTCTCTGAAATCAGATGAGTTATGATTCTGCGATCATTAGGAATGCATAAGCGTTCTTCTCCTTCACTGATGGTGTATAGGAGATCTGAAGTCAAGGCATAGCTTGACTCAGAATTTGGATCCACCTGCAGATTCCTAACAATAGGGCCAAAGACAGGGTCCTGAGGCAACGCATCAATAATAGCGTGGCGTGTGGAGTCTCCAAATGAGTAAGTATGAACAATAGCAGCAAAGGTATCAGGCCTGTGAGAAAGAGCATCAGCTACTCTATTATAGCATCCCTTTTTGTGTTTCAGTTCGAAGTCAAAGGAATCAATGAATTGAATATACCTCGCCAACTTGTCATTCAGCTCCCCCTGGGTCTTCATCCACTGCAAAGTCGAATGGTCAGAGTAGACTTTGAAGTGTCTTCCCAGTAAGAAGTGCTTCCATTGTTTGAGGGCACACACAAGGGCAAACAATTCTTTCTCATAAGTAGATGCCTGAACTTTTTGTGCCTTGATTTTCTTACTCATGAACTCCACAGGCTTAAGGCCAGACCCATCATCTTGCTGAAGGACAGCCCCTACACCATAATGACTTGCATCTGTGGTCAACACAAATGACAAAGTAGGGTCAGGAAGCCTCAGCACAGATGCTTGGGTCAAGGCTTTCTTCAATCTGGAGAAAGCCAATTGGCATGTGGGTGTCCATCTGAAAGGGACATCTTTGGCCAACAGGTTAGTCAGGGGAGTGGCCACAGTAGAAAAGTTTCTGATTAACTTTCTATAGTAAGATGCCAGACCCATGAAAGACCTAATGTCCCTAACAGTCTGTGGTTGTGGCCAATCCCTGACAGCAGCCACTTTAGAGGCTTCTGGGGAAAGACCATCTGCAGAAATTACATGTCCCAAATACAAAACAGAAGAGGCACCAAAAGATGATTTTTCTGTATTTATTTTGTATTTGTTTTCCCTCAAAATCTGCAGAACTTTTCTTAGATGATCAGCGTGGTCAACAACATTCTTGCTGAACACCAAAATATCATCCAGATAGACCACTACAAAACGGTCGAGAAATGGTTTGAAAATTCTGTTCATTTCTGTTTGGAAGGTTCATGGTGCATTGCATAACCCAAAGGGCATGACCAGAAACTGATAGGTGCCATACCGGGTCTTGAAGGCTGTCTTAACAACATCCTCCTCAGCCATTTCGATCTGATGATACCCGGATTTCAGATCGATTTTGCTGAAGACTTTGCAGCCTTGCACCATATCCAACAGGTCATCGATCCTAGGCAAGGGCTCTGAGCTCTTCCTAGTGATCTTGTTCAGACCCCTATAATGAATACACAACCTGAGTTCACCATTTCCTTTTGGAACAAAGAGAACTGGTGCCCCATACTCAGAGGTGCTGGGCCTGATCCAACCCTTCTCAGTTAGTGTTTCCAATTGCTTTCTTAGCTCATCCAACTCAGCAGGAGACATCCTATAGACTCTGCCCTTAGRAGGGGTTGAGTCAGGTAGGATTTCAATATGATGTTTGGTCTGCCTATGGACAAGTCCAGTAGGCTCATGAGCTAAATCTGCATAATCATCAACCACTCTCTTGATGATGGGATCACACTGAGGGGTGGATGAATCAGTTTGTGCCACATAGGCAACAAACAGATTCTGATGGTCAGTCTGTTTAAACAGGCTGTAAAATTCTTTTGCCTTCAGGCAATAGCAGCTTGTCTTCGGGTGATAGTCTGTTGCTAAGACACAAGATCTAAGCTCACCCTGTTCAGTTTTTAACTGAATACTGGGCACAACCCAGTCAATGCATGGGTTAGTTGCCCTTAACCATTTCAGGCTCAGAACCAGATCAAAAGGCAAGTGTGGAAACACATAGAAGTTCAGACTRTGTCTGACTTYTCCTTTGGCRTCAAAGGTGACTGRCACACYTTTGACAAYCTGTTGGACTGTGACAGACTGGGCATTCCCAACCTTTATRCATAAGGGATGCTCAAGGTCTGAGACCTTGAGTCCCAAGTGGAGTTTYTRTACCCCTGTAGGGGAGATGAAATTTCGTGTAGCACCACAGTCTAGCAGTGCCTTGATCCGGGTTCGGTTAATCAGAGGTTTGAGAAAGATCAGATCTGACTTCACTTTTCTTTTCTCCTTCAGTTGGAGATGAAGGGAGCAGAGCTGATCAGTCTCTTCCTCAGACATGGGCTCATCCAAAAAAGGCTCAGTGTACACATACAAAGAGTCAGTTGCAGCCTCAACACAATCAGGCTCAGAGACTGAYTCACCTTCAAAAGWGGGTGAATGCAGTYCARCAGGGGTGGCTGCTACCTCTGCTGGMCTGTTCAGTTTTTTGAACTGTTAGTGCCCCAAGTGGGGCARTCCTTCACGARGTGCTTCTTAGCACATCTGAGGCAAACTCCCTGATCCTTTCTTTTCTGCCATGTCCCCTCAGCAATCTTGAGATCTCTCCAGGGGAAAGTGGCAGGATCCATTGGATTAGCTGGACAGGTGGCACCCTTTGGAAGATTGGGTACCTGCGGGCCACCTGGGCGTTTGTCTGAACCCTTAGGATTGGAGGGCCTTTGGGGCTGAAACTGACTTTTGCCTTTCATCAGGCTCACCAGAGTCTGACCCAGCAACAGGGCAGCCTGATCTGGTGTGGCTCCTGCATCTAGACCAGCTGAGGGAACAGATCCTCCCTGGTCAGAGCCTGCAGAGTCATCATCAGATCCTGCAGCATACAATCCTCCCTTTCCCTTTCTCCTGTTCTGGGAAGAGGAGGTGCTTCCCTTTTGGGAAGAGGTCTGGARATGGAGTGTGGCCTCCATGTCCAGCGCTGCCCTGCCAAAAGACCTCCAGTCTTTGTGGCCTGCASTAAACAGGGCCTTGGCATATGTCTCTGGAGCAGCCCTGACAAACCATGTCAACTTATCCTGCTCAGACATTTCCAAACCAGGTGTGGAGGTTAGTTTCTCCCACTCTGCATAGAGCTTGGAGAGTGATCCACGMCACTTACTTTGGCCTAGTCTYACAAGCTCATCATTTGCTTTGCGGGCCTTTTCCTTATCTGCAAACCTGGTTTCCAGACCCTGAAAGATGACATCCAGCCCAATGACAGCAATCCAATCATCCAGCTGCTTTTGAGCCTTGCTGGCCTCCAAAGTTGCCCATTTTAGTGCGGCCCCTGCCAGGAGGGCCCCCGTGGCACGTACCTTGTCCGCCTCTGGACAGGTATAGCCCCTGAGGTAAGACCTCATCTGGGCTATCCAGTCTGAGACGTCCACTTTGGGGTCTTTCCCAGTGAACTTCTCAAGCCGGGCCATCTTGGGAAATCGCAGTTCCGTCTGCACAGTGTTGGAACTCAGTCCCCCTGTGGGTACAGTCCCGGAGACCTGCGCCACCTTCTCCTTTGGAGGAGGCAGGGGAGGCTTGGGAGAGCCAGGGCGGGATGATTGTGGGGTGGATGTCGGAGGAGGGCTAAGAGGCGGAGGGACATTAGAGCGAGGAGAGGGTACAGGAGTARGAGGGAAATGCCGAAAGAACGCTGCTGACAACTTTCCCAGCTTGCTGTCAATAGATGACAGCTGGGACTCAACTGCTGAGATCCGTTCATCCGAGGATGTGAAAACATCCCGGTTCTGTGCGGATTCCAGCAGTACCAGTTCTGCAAGATTCTGCGTGACATCAGCCACGCGGGCGTCAGCAGGGACCTTGGCAACAGTGTCCAGCAGCTCAGATCTTCTGGTTGCTGCTTCCCCTCTCTTAACAGCCTCTGCCTTCTCCCTCTTTAATCTCTCTACTTCCCGAGCTGCATCTACAACAGCTTTTTCTGCTGCTTTCAGGGCAGTGTCCACGAGGTCTTCCTCAGTCAGGGGTTTCTGTTCTTCCCCTCTTGGCTCAGACTTCGCAGACATCTCCCCGCCTTCAGCAGACCCCTTAGCCTTGTCCTCTATGGCCATGATGGTCTTTTCAAATTTTATTTGTCAAATAAAATAAAATGAAATTCTGATTACTGTTCACACACAGAACACGAGTAAAAGGAATTGAACTGTGCTGTTTAGTAAAAGGTTATAAAAGGTTTGGGATTTACGGCAGGTAGTGGTAAATGTCACAAATCAGTCTGGGAGGTTACAGGATCAGACCAACGGCCGAAACCTTCAACAGAATGGCCATGTCTGAGCATGCAACCCAATCAACAAGTCAATGATGTTTGTGACCAGGCTCGTTGCAGAGCCTTCCCAAAACAGTTAGCATTCTTCAGCAAGCGGGAGAGATACTTTCCAATGCAATCAAAAAAAAAAAGAGACCGGAGCGGGTTTCAATTATCACCGTGCAGTCTGCAAAACCTGTCAATTCTAATCGGAATAGGAATCTGTCATTTCACTGACGTTCTGGCCTCTAATACGGATAGGCAGTAATCAATACTGACTAACCGATTTCTGACCTCCAGCTAACAGGACTGACCGACAAAACGACAATCGATTTCGGTTGCCACTCCTAGAACCCGGTAGGCAATCAAAGCAGATCAGGGTCAGTGGAATGCAATTCCTTTTTTTCTTTTTTTTTTTCTTTTTTTTTTCTTTTTTCTTTTTTCAATGAGAATAGGTCCAGAGAGGGGTCAGGAACAAACAAAATAGTAACTGACGACCTATCTGACCAAGACTGCACACAGACTGACAACTGGCAGACACTGACGGTTACTGACAGGGTCTGACTTCAGGTCACACGATCTTCGGAACGAACTCACTCGAGCAAAACTTGATTGAAGATCTCCGGTTGGTCAGTGGTCCAGCCACTGTCGCAGAATATCGTCAACCAGTTCTGACGTCAATGTCAGAGCTTCAGCGAAGGTTCCCACAGTCTTCCAATGAAGTAACTCGTCGAAGTAACCACAGCAGCGGCCCAGAAGGAAGCCCCGTGCCGTCTGCGGGCGTGGTCTGCGACTTGAGGGTCACCCGACACTCAGGCCCACCGGACCACTTAGGGTTGACGCAGCGGTCAACTCTGCTCTCGCCAGTTGAAACTTCCTGGGAACGTTCCACCACTCCGTATCTTTTTTTTTTATCGCGGTAATTCTCCCCTCGCACACTACCTTCCACCACCTCTCACCAAAGACATCCGTTGAAGATAGCGGACAACAAGTCCCTGCTCCAACCGCCGCTCAGAAAGGAAGGTTGCCACTCAATTGCTCGCCGGTTGCACACGGCCGCGGCTCCGATACCAACTGCTATGTACCCGATTGAACTTCAATCCACACGAATTCACACGTTCCCATACACGCATGCAATTGCAGAGTAGACTCGAAGGAGGCAAATCCACACAAAACCGGAGAGAAGATATGCACAGCGGAAGCTCGAAATTCACAGGGAATTGAAAAACGAATTTCAATTCTGTAATTCCCAGTCCTCCTCCAATCAATCCAGAGTACTTGTTCCAAGAATCACAACCGCGTTTACAACAACCCCGAACAACCAAAACAAGTGTTCAAAGAAGTCTGCAGGAGTCTTCCTCTTCCTCCTTGCCACCTCATGCCCCTGGCTATGGCTGCCGTAGCAGCAGTAACCCCACAGTTGTCACAACGTGCCAACCTGAACCAGCAACCCCAATGATAGCAGCGCCAGCTCAGTGCCTGCACGGAAGTCCTGATGATATGGCTGGGAGTCCTGGTGAAGAAGGAGACAACTGATCCAGCACTTCGAAGAAGACAAAAACGAAGTTCCTCATGAGGAGGAACAGCAGATATGGCTGCCAAGTAGAGAATGGCAGCGCCCAAGCCCAACAACACAGTCCGGTGGAAGCTCTCATGCAGAGCTGCTGAGTAGCAGCAGTGCCATCCCCAACCCCCTGTCCCAGCCCCAGCTATGGCTGGGTTTCGATGGAGAAGATGCCCTTGCCCAAAATAACGCAGCCACGCTGCCGAAACGGACGGTCAGAGTTTTCCCACCAAAAAATCGAGGAAAAGACCCGAACTCCTTTTCCTCCCCGCTACTTCTACCTTCGCCTAGACCTACGACGGCTTCCCCAAAAGCAACAACCCAAGACCTATCTGTATCTAGATGGAAACAAGGGGAAAAGGGGCCTAAACCTATGACAAGGCAAACGAGAAAGGCTGAATGGCCTAGGACTACCAAACAGAGACTACTAGTGACAGACGCAGGGATCAAGCCCCATAGGGCACAACACTCATAAACAAAACACACAGGTTACAGGTCATGGGATCAAATCCCGCAGGGTACAAAACACACAAACCACAAACAAACTGGCAATACAGCAAACAGAGGTTGCGGGATCAAATCCCGACAACTACGACAGGGACAACTTAGTATACAGCCCGCTTGTAACACTGCAATTCATTGCACTTGTGCAGCATTTGCACGATTAGCAACCGCTCTGATCACAAGAGAAGCTGATCAGCTTCCGCTTCCCGCATCTGGTCCACCCAGTTCTCACCCCCCTGACCTGCCCTTCTCGCATCTAACTACCCCCTCTTGCTTCCCTGCCCCAAGTGACAATGACCTGTTTTCTGATTACCTGATGGAGTTCCTGATTGAAGATCATCTCGTGCCAGAGCGCATACTCGAGCCAATTGATCAAGACTGCAATGAGACTCCGCCACCTGTGCAATGTGCAGAATTGAACGAATCTTCCCCTGCTGTGAACGAATCTCCTGTGCAACCTGCGGAATCGGACGATGTCATAGCGCTACAGCGAGGCCGCTGTGCGTACTGTGCCATTAATGTGCTGCTTGCCTTGTTCCCCTCCTGCCTTGCTGCATGTCTTGCCTTGCTGCCTTGTTCCCTTGCTTCTCACCATGCTGCCATGCTGCTTCCCTTGTCTTGTTGCCGTTTTGCCTTGGTGGTTGCCTTGCCTTGCCTTGCTGCTCAAACGCACTGCCCCGCTGCTTGACTTGCTCCCTTGTTGCCCTCCTGCCTGGCCGCTGTGCTATTCTCCGGCCTGTCTTGTTGCTCTCCCCCTGGCTGCTGTGCTGCTCTCCGGCCTGCCTTGTTGCTCTCCCGCTGGCCGCTCACTCGTGGTTAATAGGTGGTATCATTTTTGGCGAAATTTTCACCGAAACTGCTCTGGCCGCTGTGCTGTTCTCCGGCCTGCCTTGCTGCCTTGCTGCTCATCATGCTGCCCTACCGCTTTCCTTGCCGTGCCTTGCTGGCCGGCGTGCTCCTTTGCTGCATACCTTGCCTTGCTGTCTTGCTGCTCATTGTGCTTCCCTGCTGCTTGCCTCGCTTCCTGGTTGCCCTCCTGTCTTGGCGCTTTGCTCCATTGTGTTGCTCTGCAGCTTGCCTTGCTGCCTTGCTGCCTCGTTGCCGTGTTGCCTTGTTGCGTCACTGCTTTGTTGCCCTCCTGCCTTGGTGCTCTGCTGCTTTGTCTTCCTGCTTGGTTGCCTTGCTATGTGCTTGCCTAGTGCAAACTGTGTTGAGTGCCTCGCTGTATCTTTGTCGGCCTGCCCCACTGGCCAGCCTGCCGACCGCTTGCCTTGCTGCTCTCCCACTATGCTTTCCTATAAGTTGCCTTGCCCATGCTGCGCTCCAGTGCCTTGCAGCTGTGTTTGCCCATTAACAACAGAGTTTGAACCCGGTTACGATGCAAAGCATTGTGAGCAGATCCTGGAGACTGTTGAGGGTTCGGCCTCCTGATGAGTTGGTGCAAGTCTGGCAATGTCGCATGCCTGTAAGTATCAGAAATGCATGGCGCAGAATCCTAGGATCACCATGAAGAACAACAACAATAACTCATTGGGACTCGGGACTACATACATACATCCATCATCACTTGTGCACAAGGATGGGTATGGCGGCTCACACAGAGAAGATAGCCGCCATGTCCTCAATAAATACGCACACGAAGGACATGGGGGAAGAGATGAAGAGGGGGAGACTGAAGGGAAGACCGCAGGTTGATAGCCCTGCGAAAGAATAATCTCCACAATAGTTCCCCAAAGTCTCTGTCCAGTAAACAACGTCTGAGTCCGGGCAAATAGCCCGAAATAGTCATGATGTCTCAACTCTCTCTCTCTCTCTCTCTCTCTCTCTCTCTCTCTCTCTCTCTCTCTCTCTCTCTCTCTCTCTCTCTCTCTCTCTCACACACACACACAGAAGCAGAAAAAGACGAGATGGATGTGGAGGACAGAATCAGGAAAGGAGAAGAAGAAGCCTCTTCTCTCTCTCTCTCTCTCTCTCTCTCTCTCTCTCTGTGTACCCAGATACTAACCAGCACGAAGACGCAGTCTTGAGCTGTGCTGCAGGTGGATTGGCCTGAAGACCACCTCCAGCTATGGCGTCCAACAGGTAAGCACCCAGGTGAGTTCTCTCTCCCTGAGCACCTCCTGGCCTCTACTCCCAGCCCTCCTAGCTTCTCTAACCTCTACTCTAGTGCAGCTCTCCTCAGCGCGTGACTCCCAGAATGATGCGTCCTGCAGCAGTGTAGTCGCATAGCTCTCCAATGCTGCATCCTGAGAAGAGGCCGGCCCAGCTATATATAGTGCTGGCCTACTGGATCCTACCTCGGCCTGCATCCTGAGCCGTCCGATCGTACTGCCGATCGACGGTCCAGGACGCAGGCCCAAATCTTGTCCCTGAGTCCTGGCCAAAAACGGCCTGCCTGGGTCTCAACTGGACTGCTGAAACAGCAGAGGTGTCCTCACAAAAGGACAAAACCAGGGCTGGACCAAAACGTGGTTCAGCCCGAATCTGAGTGAGGCCTGTGAGGGGAGGTACATCCTTCCGACTGCAACTGGAAGTAATCAGTGCCACCCACGTCGATCTCTCAACCACAATGGGGAGAAGCATCTGAGTGTGTTCTTCCTGTATTTATAGGACTTGCCGGTGGAATAGGAACCGGACTGAGGGCCTCACTCCACTATGCCATCCGCCACGATTTTTGGCGGACCGTGGCGCTTCGCAAAATAGCAGTTTCACAGCAGAAAACGGAGCATGGTTCCATTCCTCGCCGCTGCCACTCGCAATCTGATAACAATCCCGGCCGACTCTGCTTTTTATGGCGGATGGTGGGTCAGTGGAACGGTGATGATGTAA